TCCTTATCTTAAGTATTTTGGAAAGATAAATATTGCCTGGGGCATTCCTGAGATGAGACCCCCCCTCCCTTCCTTCTGCAGTTCCCTTTTCTGCTGTGTCCTTTTACTTTGTTGGGTTCTCAAAATATTCCCTTTTTTAATTGCCTCCTCAAATCTCAAATTTTTAATTCCCTTTTCCCTTTTTGCTTTAAACCTCGTTGCTCCAATTGCTCATTGAAAATGGCCTCTTCTTTAATCAACTCCTCCTCCTCTTCTGGAAATCCTTGTTGTTCTTCATGCTCTAAAATTGCCATTTCTAGAAATTGTAGTGCAAAGCCAAACAATTTGTCTCTTTCTTGTAGCTTTTCTTTCATGTTTCTCAGTTCCATTTTTAATTCCAAAAACAGTTCTGCCATCTTTGACCACTTCTATCCAATGATTTAGTTCAGTCAATGTCTAAAATATTTATTTTCAATGATTAGCTTTTATTAATTATTCTTTAGATTTTCAATTCCATCAAGTAATCCAATATCCATAAGTTTATATTTATACCAAGATCGCCAAACAATCCCAAATCAATTTCTTCCTACTTCTTTCTTTTTTTCCTCAAAGTTCAATATTCCATTTTCACTTTCAAGGGGCTCTGTTTTGTTGTAGCAAAATTTCACTTATTTTGTATCTAATCCAGTCTTTAAAGAATCCAGGTTAAAGAAATTCATGAGTAATTCCTTTTACCACTAGATGGCACTCTCTATTGATGTCCAAGTTCCACCCTTTCCCCCCCATTTTTCTCTATTTAGGATTCGAAATCCAAAGTTCCAATAAATCCAGATATCAGCTACTATGTTTTTATTTTTCCTTTGACATGTTCAAGTTCAGCTTTAAATTTGCCTATTTAGTGTCAAGATAATATATTTTCCAATTTAAACAAGTATCTTCTTCAGGCTTCTCTTTCAAAATTCAAAGCTACTTTCAGCTGTCAAAAGTTTTTTTTTTCCTTTTCCCTCACTGTCTTTGTCCACCACTTTAATTAATTCTCTTAAGAATCCTTTAAAATTTAATTTCGGGGTACCTTGTATTCAATTGTTGCATCAAATTAGCCCAGTTGTTCAAGCTGTCCTCTTCTTCACCACACCTGCATGATTTTATCCCGGCTAGCTCTTCCACTTCAGGGTGGCCATTTTAGTCCACCACTATAGCCGTTTTTGGAGGAGAGTATTTGCCAAACCAAGGAGGGGAGATGCGGCTCCCCTCAACCCACCTGGTGGTCTTCCCCTCCTTCACCACTCCTACAGGGTGGCTCGGGCCCCAAATCAGGATGATCAGGGCCCTCTGATGGGAGAGCACAGACCAAAGCTGTGGACAATTGCGGTCGTCAACGAGGATGACAGCACCGGAAACAAATACTACAAATGTTTTGAAGATTAACTTCAGCCATTAAAGGATGTAATGAATTATATATTACACGGGGGAAAGTTACCCCCAACTTGGAAAGAAGCTAGTATTGTGTTACTACCAAAGAAGGTCAAGATGTTATGATGATAAAGAACGATAGACCAGTCTCATTATTAAATAAGGACTATAAACTATTTTCTGCAGTTTTGGCAGAAACACTAAAGAAAGTTTTACAGGCATATATTCATGAAGATCAATCTGGCTTTGTTCCAAAAAAGACAGTTAAGGGACAATGTGAGGACTCTTCTAAATATTATTGAATACTTACAATATCATAATGAAAGACAGGCAGCCTTAATACACTGCTCAAATAAAGGGAACACAAAAATAAGACATCCTAGATCTGAATGAATGAAATATTCTTATTAAATACTTTGCTCATTACATAGTTGAATGTGCTGACAACAAAATCACACAAAAATTATCAATGGAAATCAAATTTAGCAACCCATGGAGGTCTGGATTTGGAGTTACACTCAAAATTAAAGTGGAAAGAAACACTACAGGCTGATCCAACTTTGATGTAAAGATGGGATAAATTGTAGTTATTACTACTGAGTGGAATTTCTGTAATTAAGATGAATGGCTTACCAAAGATGGTTTTTCTGTTTCAGACATCACCCAATGCTTGCAACTTAAACGATGGCAGAGGGACATTGCTAAGTTCATGTAGCAAGAGAAAAAACCAAGAATTAGATATAGACTACTGCAAGATGCTAAAGAAAGAAGGGGATTAGGTTTATCAGATTTGAAATTGTACTTTGATGCTTGCTGTTTGGTTTGGCTAAAAGAATGGGTGAACCTTCAGAATAAGAGGCTACTGGACTTACAAAGTCATAAATTAAGATTTGGATGGCACAGTTACCTATGGTATGACAAAGTTAAAGTAAATGTTGATTTCAACAACCATTTTGTTTGATGTGCCATTCTGAGAATTTGGACTAAATATAAAACAAGTTTTTCCATGAAGATGCCTCTTTGGGTTTTCCCACAGGGAGCTTTTTAAAGAAAATAAATGTTGATGAGGCTGAACTGGTGGACATGGTAAAATAATATCTTTTGACTTGGGTGATCCTATTCTCAAGTCTTGAAGGAATTAGAATCAGAAGGTCCTGTCTGCCACCGGATTACATATCTACGGCTGAAAGAAAGATTCAAATTAGGCAAAAAAAGGGTTTAACTTCATTAAATATTATTTGGAAAACTTAATATGTGGTTGCTAAAATCTATAAAATGTTATAGAATTTAAATCTGGAAAATGAACAAGTAAAGCATTGTATGAGTCAGTGGGCAAGTATGTATATAAGGTAGTGCTTGAACAATGGGAGAATATGTGGAAAAAAGGTTTAAAATTTACATTAAATTATAACATAAAAGGAAACTTCTATAAGATGATGTATCACTGGTATTTAACTCCAGACAAGTTTTCAAGAATGTATAAATATATTTCAGATGAATGTTGGAAATGTAAATGTAAAAAAGGGATTTTTTATCATTTATGGTGGACATGTGATTAAAGCAAAGAAATATTGGAGTAGGATTCATACCTTAACACACAAATTTTTTAAAGGGAATATAAACAGAAAACCAGAGACTTTACTTTTGGGCTTAATGGAAAAAGACTTGGGGGTAGAATTGAACTTTGATGTTATAAATGTTGATGGCAGCAAGACTGCTCTACGTAAAGAAATAGAAAGTCATCTTGATCCCCACAATGGATGAATGGCTGCACAAATTGATTGAGTTAGCAGAGATGGCTAAATTAACTACTTTGATCAAAGGAAAAAAACCAAATACTTTTATTTCTACTTGGAAACTACTTCTAGGTTTTGTGCTTGAGATGGAAGAAATGAAACTTTGATTTTGGGTTTTACCAATTAGATAGATTCGTTGTTATACAAATGTTTAGTTTATTACGTAAAAGTAAAAAGTTGAGGTTTGATGTTAATGCCTTATTCTACTGCATTGAAGGGAGTCAGAAGTCAATGCCTTTTCTTTCTTTTTCCCAATTTCTTTCCCCTGCTTTTCTCTTCCCTTTCCCTCCTATTTTTTCTGTTATTTACTTTTGTATTTTCTTTGTATGCTACATTATAAACTGATAAAATTGTTATAAAAACATACAGTGTTGCCAGGTTCTGCATAGCAGCACTTAAAACCTACTAAAAGATGATCTGTGCCATAAACCAGTTTTAAGGACTATCTATTGAAGTTTTTCATTCTGGAGTGTTTTGTAATATAAGAGTAGTTTGCCATGTTCACTAGGCTCATCTACTGCTTCTAACCCTCCTTTTAGATGCTTATTTCTATATTTTTAGCTTTTTATGGATAATTTTTTGATGTATTTTTTATGCTTTTTAAACTTTTGTGCCCTATTTTTCTTATGCTAGTCTTTGACTGTAATAATGATTTGATTTGATTTTGTTCCCCTCAAATTCAAATCTGCATATGCTATTAGAAAATTAGCTTCTTGAGAATTGCACCTTAGCAGAAGTTTGTACAGCCATTAAAAAAAACAAAAATAAGAAAAATGCCTAGATAAGATGGTTTATTCACTCACTCACACACATACACGCACAGAGACACATGTATATACACACACATATAGCTATAGGAATCTATTCCCAAATCTATAGATTTCAATTTACCATTCTTTGAATGTTAATGGTAATGTAGTTTATACTAAAGAAAAATATGTGGAATGCTGTTTTTTTCCCTATTAAATTAATTTTTTTTTCCTATTAAATGACCAGAACCATGATAGAAGGAGTTTTCATGTGAAAACTTGTTGAGCCATTTTGTCCCTGAGTCTTATCAATTGAATACAAAGGCTTTCAGTAGAGTTCAGCTATTTACAAAGTAAATTTAAGTTTAGTGCCTTTTTAGAGTTTAATGCCATTATTTTTTGTTGATACTATTTAACAATTTAAACTTCACTAATATTGAACATTTTATTTTAAACAGCCTTGCAGTGTTTTTGTCTTCACTGTACAAAAGAGAACTTCACATGTACAACAGATGGGCTCTGTCTTACTTCAGTGACACGGAATAAAAACAAAATTCAACGCAATAGTATGTGTCTTGCAGAAAATGATCTATTTCCCAAAGACAGGCCATTTGTTTGTGCTATTTCAACAAGTAAAGGAGTAATTACAGTGCCTCATTGCTGTGATAAAGATTTCTGCAATAAAGTAGAACTTCCAATTCCAACACCAGGTAATCTTTTGTTTTACTAGCAGAAAATCGATAGCTGAGAAACATCTATAAAGCACAATTTTATTGTCTTTCATTTCACACACTACCAAGTTCTCAATATAATATTTAACTAATGAGTTCTTTGTTTTATCTTTTGTGCTCCCTTTTTACATCCTTAGGTCCTGTAACAGGGAAGTTTTCTTCTACCCTAGGACCTGTGGAATTAGCTGCTGCCATTGCTGGGCCAGTTTGTTTTCTTTGCATTTCACTTATGTTGATTCTTTATATCTGCCATAATCGTTCATTCATACACCATCGAGTTCCAAGTGAAGAAGATCCTTCAATGGAGCGACCATTTATATCTGAGGGAACTACTTTAAAAGATTTAATTTATGATATGACCACTTCGGGATCAGGATCAGGTAATTAGCTCTCATATTTTAGTAAATGGTTTTTAAAAAGTTATACTATTAATAATGCTAAGGATACATAGAAACTTGCTGTATATTTTGAGGGGATTTATCTCTAGGTGGGTTTTTGTTGTTGTTGAGAATTTCATTTGTTATGCCAAAGAAAATTTTATTTTATTTATAGAGCATGAATAAATGTTCATATGCATATTTATATTTGAAGCTTAAGGTTAATGGTATTTCCAAATTTAATGCCCCATTGTAGATAAAACCCTAACCTAACTATACTTTATCCTTAAGATTTATAATATATGGGTAATCATCACTTATCAATAATTGGGACTGCAATTCTGTTGCTAATCAATGTGGTTGTAAAGCACAAAGTTATGTGGCCACATCATTTAGATACTACAATACAAGCAGTCCCTGTTGCTGTCATTCAGCAGAAAGCATTGATCATTTAACAAGAACCACCTTGCAATTTCCTGCTGATTTCCACCACCAATATCATTTGAGACGATGGAAGCTGTAAGTCCCAGGTAGCTCATTAGCAGGCCAGCAGAAAGGTAAATGGTTGCTTCCAGATGAGGGAGGTTATGTGGGCAGTAGGGTGCACAAGCTTGTTTGATCTGAAGGTGACTGCTACTAGATAAGGCAGGATGTAGACTGTTGCAGGGATGTGTGTGATTTTGGGTGGTGGGTGGTGGGGTTGCTACCAGGTGAGAGAGACTTACTAGAACAACTTGCAAACTTCCTGATAGCTTTCCCATTGACTTGGTTGTTGGAAGTGGCAAGGAAGGTGACAAATAACAACCAATGTGTGAGCCAATTGCCAAGCTATAATTGATAAACATAGTCAATTATGGGGGCTATACTACAGCCAGAACTTCAAGAACCAATTGTAAGTAATACTGATTCAGCACTACTTCAAACTATTGCAACTTCAAACAGTTGCTAAACAAGTGGTTATTATGGTCGGCAAGGACTACTTATTAATATATTTACCTTTACATTGCAATTTTATTTCTGAAATTCAGGACAGCATACATAGAGCTCCTTCCTCTTGTTTTGCCCCACAGCAATCTTCTTTGGGCTAGTGGTTAGCCCACTGTCACTTGTCAAGGTTCTATGGCTAAGGATACCTTAGAATCTTTAGGCCAACTTTTAACTACCATGTTGCATTGGTTGTCATGTATTTTGAGTTCTATAGAGAAGCCAAGCAGGTGTCCTTGGAGAAACAAGGCATTGATAATAGTTGTAAGAAAATGCTGAGACGGTGAAAGCATACAAAAGAGCTAAGCTGTCATAATTCACTACATGTGTTCCCTGGTTTATATCCATCCATTCAGCAACCATTCAATGTTACAGTGTCACTTACAATGGACTTATAACTGGACCTTAAAAATCCAGCCATCATTACATCCCTACAATGATCATAGTGAGGGTGTCTAGCTTGCAATTGCAATGTTGCAGCTAGCCAGTCACAAGATCATTTGCAGCTTTCCACAAGCAACGTCATTGGAGAAACTGTTAGAGAAGGTCACAAGTTGCTCCCGCTATTTTGCTTGCAAGGAGCCGGCTGTGAATACAAGATACTCTACTCTGTAGCACATCCTGCCCACCTGATTCTGTCATATAGCCTGTCTAAAGCAACACATTTCTTCACCTGTGGCCTCCGCTGGCTTTTCCATGTCTTCCACCAACTTGTCTGCATCCATAGCACTTGCCCATGGCCTCTGCTGTCCTACCTGTATCTATAGCATTCATTCACCTGTGCCCCTCATTGAGCCAGCCACAATCCCCTTCCTCTCCACACTCATTCCCTGGGACTCTCATCTCTCCCTGTGTGTTCCTGGAATTATGACAGCAATCATGATTGCCAGAATTGCCGTTAGTGATATCACAATTTACTTTACAAACACATGTAAGCATTCCCAGTCCAAACAGCTGTTGAAATCTGAGGATCTATGGAATATAAGAGGAGAGGAGTAAAAAAAAATCAGTTCAAGCTAAAAGTGTAGTTCCACCTAGATTTGTGGAGTATATTTCCTGGCCTGGTCTATTTCAAAGGACGAACAGGATATATAAACCAGATTTGGTTAGACTCCAATTAGAAAATTATTTCAGCTTTAAATAGATTTTGTGATCCATTTAAATTGGTTTAGATTACATATTCAAATATTAGTGGAAATGTAATAAGAATCTTTAGAGATAACGGCTCCTTAGATATTGGAGTAGAATGTTGCAGTGATTAAAAAAATGTTGAAATATTTGGATATTTATAGCAAATGCAATAGAATAATATTGGAGATTAATGCAGCCAAAGAGCTGCTCAAAAGTATTTATTGTTACTGGAAATTAAACTGTTATTTTAAGTTGCCTTTTTTTTTAACAAAGTAGAATTAGTCTCCTTTATTTATGACCAAGGAAAAGCATGGCCAACTAGAATTAGAAATAGCTAGGGATTTTAGTAGTCTTTTGATAGGAGGAAAAGCCTGGATTGATTAATTGGTTCTTTATCTGATAAAAAAAAAACTTTTTTTTAGGTTTGCCATTACTTGTTCAGAGAACAATTGCAAGAACAATTGTACTACAAGAAAGTATTGGAAAAGGTCGCTTTGGAGAAGTCTGGCGAGGAAAATGGAGAGGAGAAGAAGTTGCAGTAAAAATATTCTCTTCAAGAGAAGAACGCTCATGGTTTCGTGAAGCTGAAATCTATCAAACCGTTATGCTCCGTCATGAGAATATTCTTGGATTTATAGCTGCAGACAATAAAGGTTGTTACAATCCAGAAATACTTTGCTTATCGTATACAGTAACTTCTTATTATATACAGGTAGTCCTCAAATTATGACCACAATTGAGCCCAACACTTTGGTTCTTAAGTCAATTGTTAAGTGAGCTGTGCCCCATTTTTATGATCGTTTTGCCACAGTTATTAAGTAAATGTAGTTGTTAAATTATATTTGTTAAGCGAATCTGGTTTTCTATATACGTTATATAGTTGCACTGGTTTCCTCATTGACTTTATATGTCAGAAGCCACCTGGGAGGGTCCTAAGTGATGATCACATGATCTCAGGATGCTGCAATCAAGATACATACCATTTGCCAAGCACCTGAATTTTGATTATGTGACCATGGGAATACTGCATTGGTCATAAGTGAAAGTTGGACATAAGTCATTTATAGGTGCCATTATAACTGAACAGTCACTAAATAAATAGTTGTAAGTTGAGGATTTCTCATTTCTCAATGAGAAATATTAACGACATAATACCTAAACATATTCAAGAAAAACATCTGAATAATTATAACTTGAAAAATGTTTTTTGTTCATTGAAAACAAAATTGTAATGGCTTTGGGTTTATGTTCAAATCTCTCTTAAATATTAAGTATCTCTTATTCTGCTAAATTGGGTGCTGTCCTTGTATGTCAAATTTAACACTCAGAATTCCTCAGCAAACAGGGCCATTGCAGAAGATTTAAGAGTTAAAACCCAAAGTCAGTGACAATTGCCAAGGATGGGAAATCTTTATCTGGAATAAATTGCACTAGATTTATTTGCAAGGCTAACAGAATAATAGCACTTGCCAATCCAAGTACTTGAGTATTAATGACCACAAGGAGATACTAAGAGTATAAACTAGACAGGAAAATAAAGAAAAAAATCCTGGAAGGCATAGCAAGTTATTTCCCGATTGTTTTCAAAGGCTATGTCCATCAAGTTAAGAGCCTCAATTTGAAGAAACATTTATCTTTCAAGTGTGAATAATTTTATAGATTGATATTAAAAGAACTAAAACAAATTGTTTGCAATGAGGACTTTTGGTTGTACAAATGGTTTATATTGCAATGGTTTAACAAATTTTTATCTGGATGGTAGACATGTTTTTCATCTTGGATTTTTAAAAAAGTATATTTATTGCTAATTCAATGCAGTAAGATGTGGGTTATTTAAATCTCCATGACTTCATTGGGATTTAAACAGTTGATGTGTGTAATTTTGCAATCACTATTTTTGATACAAGTAGATTGCAATAACATAATTAATATTCCGACTACAATAAAATAGTTATTCTTAAGAGTAGAATAGAGAATACTTTATTTGACCAATGTGATTAAACATACATTCTCATACATTCAAAGCAACAGAGTAATAATTAAGAGGATTAAGTAAAGAATAATAATAATACTACAACCAAATAAGACAGATAAAAAAACAGACATAAGTCAGTTTTGTGAGAATTAGGTGTTCAGCAGAGTGATAGCATGAAGGGAAAACCCTATCCTAAAACCGTATCTAGTTGTTTTTGCAACTTGCAGTGTTTGGCAACTTGTAGTTGCAGTGCCCTATAGTGACATCCCAAGGGAAGGAACTGAAAGTTTATGTCCAAGATGTGAAGTGTCTGTAGGGATTTTCTCAGCTTCTCCTTCTGATCTGCACAATATTCTATGGAAGGCAGATTGGTTGCTATTGTTTCTTCTGCAGTCCTAACTATCCATTGGAGTCTGTACCTGTCCTGTTTGGTTGCTGTATCAAACTAGACAATTATAGAAATACTATCGGCAGACTCAATAATTCTTCTGTAGGACTCTATCAACAGTTCTTGGGGCAATCTGCACTTCCTGAATTGACACAAGAAGAACATTCTTTCATTTTAATGATAATTCTAATGTTAGTGTCCATTTCAAATCCTGGAAAATTATAGAACTTATAGAACCTAAAAACTTAAGGACTCTACTCTGATAGTCTGCTGTTAAATATAGTAAGAGGTGATAGAGGAAAGGGCTCCTCCTAAAATCCACTATCATCTCTACAGTTTTAAGCATGTTCAGCTCCAGGGCCAGTTATTCAACCTCCTGTCTGTAGGCAAACTCATTACCATCTTTTATGAGACCAACAACTGATGTATCATCCGCAAACTTCAATACTTTAACAGAGAGATCTCTAGATATGTAGTCATATTTCCAGTGTGTTGGATTTATTTTAATTGTTCCTTTTCTGTTTTGATTCGCAGATAATGGTACATGGACACAACTCTGGCTAGTGTCAGATTATCATGAGCATGGTTCTCTTTTTGATTATTTGAACAGGTATACTGTTACTGTAGAGGGAATGATAAAGCTAGCATTATCAACAGCCAGTGGACTTGCACATCTTCACATGGAGATTGTTGGCACACAAGGTAACTTAATCCCAATGTTTGTTTCAGTTGTTAATGTACATCTTCCCTCAGTGGTATACATTTTGAAATCATTTTAATAATCTCCATTGCAATTTAGTTTGATTTAACATTTATGTGATTTATGTTTAAATTGAAAAAGATTGCATGGATAATAACAGTTTTGGAATATCCACTAATTACAGTTTTAGCGGGAAACACCCCTCCTCATTATTTCCTTCTTACTATAGTTTTTCTTTCTGAACCGATAGGAGCACCATTTTCATGAATATTCCTTCTGAAAGTTCTTATTCATTTTCTATCTTTTTGTTTAATCATCTATTCTAAATTAAATTTTTCTATATATCTTTTACCAGGTGAGCTAGCATGTTGTATTTGAGACACAGTAGGAGCCAAGCCAGATTTTTAAAAAATCTAATAAGCCTAGTAAAGAATAGTAAATCTACTGTAGTCTAGTATATTTATTTTAGCTAAAATTAAGATTTTCCAAACAAAGGTAGTCTCTCAAATTTCTTATGGCTCCTAAATTTACTCTTTTCAAAGATTAATATTCTTAGATTCATTAATTTGAGATATATGGATAGTTCCAAAATGCCATCTTGCATGTAGAAACAGGCATGATCTTGTTGAATGGTAGAGCATGGTTTCTTCTAATTACATTTGACTCATGTTAATCCTATATCCTATAGATTTGACCCATTAGTATGTAGAGATAATTTTTAAAAGCCCTAGATAAAATTCATATATGGGATTCTGGGATTCTATATAGAAAGTTTGTGCTTATTAGGTTTTAATAATGTTACAACTGCCCTCAAAGAATAAATTTGGCATATAGATCTCCAAACAAATTTAAGCAAAGTGTTATATCCCAATATTGATCATATTCTTCTGAAAAGGTTTGTGCCAGCCTTTTATTTATCATCCATTACAATTCTGAAATTCTGGAAGCATTCACTTTAGCCAAAATGGATGCATTGCCTGCAGCAGTCTTTTATATCTTCAGTTAGGTCCATGTCATAAAACTACAGAGGGTTTGAGAGAAACTCTTAAGCAAGATGTACATTGCTGCTTTCTGTACAAGGATTCTAGGCAGACCTTCAATAACCCTATCTGCGTAGGGAGTGTTCTTTCTACTTAATGTTTTTAATTTCTGAAAAAGACTCAAAATACCTTCCCATTCACCCAATTTTGACCAATCAACTGCATCATTAATTAAGTTTTAATTTTTTTATAATACTGTATGTATTTATTCTGCTCTATTTTGTTATATCTCCTCTTAATTATTTTTTATTATACTTAATATTTTTCTGTTATTTAGAAGTATTTTATTGCATCTAGCCTTTGGTCTGCAATAAATTAATTTTATTTGAAATTCACAATAACTTCATTTAAAAAAATCACGACATCAGATGATTGAGCATAGTTTTTTTTTTTTATAATCTCACACTGATTCTTCCTTATTTGTTTATTACATTTTTTTGCTGCCTATTTTGCCATGGGGCAACTTTAGGTGGCTTACAACAATAAAAAGGAAGAAATGAAAAGAGTGTAAACAGAACAGAAGTAAAATAATAAAGAAAAAAAAGGAACAATGAAAAGGAACATAATGAGAAATACAACTATAAGATTATATATGTATATAAAAGAAGTATGGATGAGTAGAGAAGAAAACAAGGGTGGGTTGGTGTTGGAGTCTGCCATCAATCCAGCAGTCACTTCCATAGTGCACTCTCCCCATTTGGACTCCAGTCCAACTGGCAGAATGAGGGTTTTAGGTTCTTGCAGAAGGATAGGAGATTGGGGGCAGATTTTACCTTAGAGGTTAAGATGTTCCAAAAGGCAATGATGCAGCAGAGAAAGCTCTTCTTTTGGGTCCCAACCGATGGAGCTCTTTGGCTGATGGGATTTGAAGTAGGCCCTCTGTTCTGTCACATGTAGGACAGGCGTGCCCTAGCAGGATGAGTTGGTTCATCAGGTAGCCTGTACCTATGTCCTTAAGGGCTTTAAAAGTCAAAAACAGCATGTTGAATTGCACTCAGAAGCAGACTGATTACCAGTTAAGTTTGCAGAGCAGAGGTGTTACGTGGGACATCCTAGACATCCTAGAGTCCCAAAGACTGCTGTTGTTGCTGCACTTTGCACCAATTGAATCTTGTGAATGGATTTGCAAGGGTTGCCCCAAATAGAGAATATTTAAATAGTCCAGTCAAGAGATGTGTAAGGCTTGAGCACAGGGAATCATAATTCAGGAAAGGTTGCAGCTGATTCAGAAACTGGAGCTGTGCTAAAGTTTTCCTAGTCTTGCCCTCTACCTGCTCTTTGACCAGATGTAAGTCCAAGAGAACTCCTAAGTTGCAAACTGGGTCTGATCAGGGTAGTGCAATTCTGTCCAGATCTAAGGATGACAAACATTAGGATCCTGAGGCTCCATGCATCCAAAGCCACTTGGTCTTGCCAGAGTCCAGTTGAAATCCATTGTTCCTCCATCCAGATCCCTACTACTTTCAGGCATCGCAAGAGGGCAGAGACAGCATCACTCAGGTGATCATGTATAGCGATATACTGTATTTTAAGAACTTATAACTAAGTGTAGGAATCATTATTTGTACATTTTATGTTATAAAATATTGGTTTATTTGGATTAGATTAAAAATGGTTGATCATCTCAGGTGACCATCTATATTTTATCCCATCAATCTTAGATTTTTTATTAGAACCACTGGAAAATTTTGAGAATATGAACTTATTGCCTAAATACTTCTTTTTGTAGTGCTTAAATATGCAGAAGTGCTATCTTTTTTCAGATAATAACATTCTGATTAAATTTTAATTCTTTTAAAGCAGGAATTCCTAAATTCCTACCATCAATCTCCTTTCAATGTAGACTTGCCTAAAAATCCGAACATCAAAATGAACAATGAAATAATAATGAAACTTTGGAGAACATAGATTTATTCCAACAGTGTAACTAAAATATAGTTATCTCTCTCCTGGATTCCCATCTGCATCTCAAGGGAGGTACACCTTATAGTTTGAAAACCTTGTTTTAAAGCTTGTCCATCTTTATTTAATAAATCTTGATATATTGTCAGAATTTAACAAATCTGAATTTTAACATATAATAGGAAATCTAGTTTAATTGTCATCAAGTCATTATCAACTTTTAATGAGGGTTTAGATAGATTATACTTCATCATGAACTTCCCCTTACATGGTCTTTTAGGTCTTCCAGTGGGGCACCACAGAGTTCTTCTATCTTAATGCTGATTGTCTTCTTCTCTTTTCCTTCAGTCTTTCCCAGCATTAGACTGTTATGTGGAGAATTAGATTTTTATATAGTATGTTCAAAGAGGAATAATTTGAGCTCCATCAATGGAAATAATAATTTGTTGCTGAAGGTTATCAAGAAAAAAAATGGACAATCATTTATCTGGGATGGAGTAAGAATCCATAGGCAGGATGTTGGACTAGAAGACTCTAGGGTCCCTTCCAGCCCTATTATGCTATGAGTGTCATCTTTTGTGCCTTGATTTGATTTGGTTGATGATATTAATAGTACTTCTGTGTGTTTTAATTTCAGGTAAACCAGCTATAGCTCATAGAGACTTGAAATCAAAAAACATTTTAGTAAAGAAAAATGGAACATGTTGCATTGCAGATTTAGGTCTGGCAGTAAGACACGATTCAGCTACAGATACAATAGATATTGCACCAAATCACAGAGTGGGAACAAAGAGGTAAACTGATACTTTTTTAATCAGTTAAAAAACAGAAGATAAGATAATCCAAACTGAAGATAAGATAATGAGTAGATGTTAAAGACAGTTATTCCTACAGCAATAAAGTGTTGAACCCATTAGAATCTTGCATTAATATGGCCTATAGCAGGGGTTGCCAACCTTTTGGACCTCAGGGACCACCAAACTCATACTTTTAAATCGCGAGGACCACTAATACGAATTATTTTAAAACCATAATATATTTAATATAAAATTTTAATTTTTTATATTAAATATAAATTTAATATTAAAAAATTAATTTTTATTTATATATATGTATGTATTGTGTGTGTGTGTGTGTGTGTGTATGTAT